TCATTAGGAAATCGCCCGATAAGGACCCGACGGAGGCTAGGTCGTATCGACCCATTAGCTTAATCCCAGTTCTAGCTAAGGCACTGGAACACCTTATCGTGGCGAGAATCCGTAAAAATACGGACATCCATATGTCGGCCAGACAATTTGGTTTCACCAAGAACCTATCGACCGTAGATGCAATGACACATGCCTTTGGCTGGTCAGATGAAAGGCGGGAGAAATACGTCGTAGGCGTATTCCTGGATATATCGGAGGCCTTCGACTGCCTCTGGTGGGCGCAACTAATTAAAGATCTTGAAAAGGTTAAATGCGGCTCTGGGTTGATCGCCCTGACAAAGAGCTACCTAGACGGCCGAAAGGCCCACTTGGCGATTGGAAACATGACACTCTCGACGACCCTAACAAAGGGTTGCCCGCAGGGCTCGGAGTTCGGTCCCGACCTCTGGAGATACGCGGTCAACCCGCTCTTGTCCGGCGATCTTCCCCCCGGGACGGAGATAGTCGCATACGCGGACGATCTCGCGCTACGCATCTCCGGGAAACACCGTCCGGAGCTCACGGAACGCGCGAACGCGCTGCTAGAAATAGCGTCGAGATGGGCCTCCGACAGGAAACTCACCTTCTCGGCGGCCAAGTCGCAGACCTTGTGGATCAAGGGCCAACTAAGTAAGCCCCTTGACTTGCGACTTGGTGGGACTAAGGTAAAATGACCCCGGAGGCGAAATACCTCGGGGTCACGTTTGACCCGCAAAGGAAGTTTAGCTCCCATCTGGCGAAAAAGGCTGCGTCCTCGGTAGCGCTATTCAGTCGACTAATATCTGTGGCTAAGGCTAGCTGGGGCCTTAAAGAAAGGACGATGAGGATCCTGTACAAATCGGTGTTCCTGCCGCGTATGAGTTATGCAGCCTCGGTATGGGCCGAGCGCTGCATGATGCAGTACCGGCATAGAACACGGGCTAACACCGCCCAAAGACGCCCGTTACTGCCAATGACGGGCGCGTATAAGACCACGTCGACGATGGCGCTCCAGGTCCTAGCCGGAGTACCTCCCCTCGACTTAGAACTAGTTCGGCTGGTTAAGATCGAACGGGATAAGAGCGCCGTGAGGAGAGGACACAAGTCGGCGTCAGACGTTGCTAGAAAGGCGAAACAGTATTACGACACTACCATACGCCTCTGGCAGGAGAGATGGGTCGCCAGTGACGGCGGACAGCGATTTGGTTCCCCCGGACGTCCGGCGCAGACTCGAGAGGCCGTGGTTCGTTCCGGACCACTACATCTCGCAGTTCGTGACCGGACACAGGAATTTCAATTCGTCGCTCTGTCGTTTCAAACTCCGAGGCAAGGCACGTTGCCGATGCGGTCTTCCAGAGGAAACCGTGGAGCATGTGCTATACGATTGGCCAACATATAGCCAGGAAAGAAACAAGCTCGCAGCCGCAGCGCAATCGGAAGGTGTGGACTGTCCGTGCGACTGCGATACCATGACCTCCACGGAGGCCATGTTCCTTGCGTTCAAAAACTTCTCCCGGGAAGTCCTAGAACGTAAAGATGTAGGACTACCCCGCAGGCACGACCCGGACCCCTAATTTTAAAACCGTAATGGACGGGCGTGTGGCTAGATGGCGTATGTGCAGGACACGACGCACTGCCAGAGACATGGAGACAGTCTCCCCTATCCACGCAGGCACAAATCGTCCGAGTGGGCCTAGCCAGAACGACCGTCGCTGTCATCGTTAGTGGCGGAGCGAAAGCCCGCGAAGTACCGGATAGTGGCAGGCGAAGCGGGACCCGATAGCCGGACCAAAAGGGCCCTAAGACGGCGCCCCCACAGGATCATCGAACGCCCTCCGTACTAAGACCCGCCTAGCCAGGAGCGAGGGACGGGATACCCTGTGGGACGGACCGAATGCCCGACCTCCTCGGTGACGGGACGGACGGAACATCTCGCGGGGCGAATTGGGTGCCCTCACTCCCTATGAACAAATTTTTGCCTAGACCGAGAGCTCGAACTAGAGGGGCCAGACCACCCGTCGGGCAAAGCACGTGCACGTATTCAGCCGGCTCAGGGCTTGATACGAGAGAGGCACCGGCAGAAACGGCAATTTGTCGATAAAGAGCAAAACCGTACGCGCTATAAAGGGGTCGTCGCGGTACACACAGCGGTGCCCCGATCGACCTGCTTGCGGACAAGGCAGTTGCGAGGGCCTGAACGCCGGGTTCGATCCTCGTATCACGGGACTCGGAGTAAGCCCCGTCGAGTCGGCTTGCTAACAGCGCTTTGACGCTCTGGGGGTGCCGGACCCGAGGCGCACGACAACGTGGACTCACCGAGGACACACGCTCGCCTGCACCAGGAAAGGCACACTTTAGGAAGGACTCGTGGTGGTTGTGGGAGTACTGCCTTAGTAGAAGGGGTTTGACTCAGGCGATAATCCGTCGGGCCCTGGCCTCGGCGGTCACTCATTATGGCGCTCGAGATGAGGCGGCGCGCCGGGCGGGACCCCCGGAGTCATCCGGGACTACTGCCCGGAAGAGACAACCTCGCGGTTATACAAAGGGGCCGAGTGTCTCCGCGGCAACCCGGAAGAACTGGTCGACCCCGCATTACACGGAAAGATGATAGCTAGTCACTTAATCACCGTTTCGGAGTGTATTTATTTATTTTTCATACCAAAAGCACCGGGCAAGTCACGGGTAATGCATCCAATTCACCGTTCCGGGTGATGACTGATACCTAGACACTCAATTGCTATTTTCGTAACAAGCTACGTGACAAGGATTGCACCTGTGAATTTAATGAAATGACCGACCACTAGACGCTCGAATTGGACTTTTATTATTTACATTTTTAAAACGACACCGCTAAAGTGTAGAGCCACCAAATTAGAGGTACCAACATCTCAAACGTCGTTATCATTGGTTTTGCCTACTAGACTTTTCTAACTGCTGTATACCAAAGTCCTGTCTCTACCTAGGAAATTCACTTCAAACGATTTTCAACTACCTAGGGTATTCACATACAGCGATTTTTACCGACCTAGGGTATTCACTTACAGCGAGTTTCACCGTTACTTGTAATAATATAATATCACTCGGTAAGATAAGAGCTCGGTGCCACCAACTAAACTGTCCTACTGAGTATTTAGTGGAAGGCGGACGACGGCGGGCTTCACAGCTAGGAATTCCCGCGTTGAAAGTTTAAACTACGACGGATCGTCGTCTACGTTTAAATCCGTAACGACGACGGATCCAATACGATGGTAGCTGTCCACAGTACCGATTCGTATTATCGTAAGCTGAAACTAACACTCGCGACAATGAAAGATCCTCAACGCAATGACACTGAACACGGCACACGAAGTCGGACAGTAAAGCACGGGGCCGTAAATGTATGGGCACACACGTGACGGCATGGAAAAAAAGTCGCTCACAAAAAAATGACCTCGACAGAATAATATTACGGCTGGCACTCGAACGCATATATAAGTGGTCAACAGAAAGATGAGATGGCATGAACGAAAAATAATATAGCTAACGCACATATTTTTACAAACATCGGCCTGATCGGCAGACGCAGACGAACAGAGCCACGGACATAGGTGATCGGGTGATGACAATATGTGTCGCCAAAGTCGCAAAGTCCCACTCCACCGATGATAATGATAAAGACAACGTTCGGCGATAGTGTCATCTTATCTGTTTTTTAATTGCCCGGGCTCGTATTCGGCGTGGATAATATGCGGTTCAAACATCCTCCCCCCGTGGGAGGCTCCGGCTCCTATAGAGATTGAACGGATCGGGTTGAGTGAACTGGATCAGCGAGGTGAAATGATGTATTACCGAAGTGATGCTAATTATCATTTCGTTTTACAAAAGAAATACATGTTGAATGCAAAATTATAAATAATACACAGTATGAAAACATAAAAATATCAAAATAAATAACATATTATATAATATTAGTCAGTAACGTACTTAGACCTAAATTTTTTTTTTTTTTTTGGGGGGGGGGGGGGGGGGTTGTAATTTTTTTAATTAATACATATTAGATGACGTGACACCTGAATATAACAAAACATATCGTACATTTTAATGGATTACTAATTTTTATTCGTGATATTATTTTTCATTGACATGTCATAATTAATAAATATGTAATTACTATTTAACCATATGTATGTATAAAAAAAAAAAAAAAATGTTAAATAATATAATAATAATAATAATAATAATAATAAAATAATTTAGATACATAATAATTTTAGAACATTAATTTTCTATTTTTTTCTGAAAAAATATCGACTACTTCACTACTTTTTATTGGTATTTCTCTGTGAATACTTAGATGAGCCAATCCATTTAGACGATTTTCCCCGTGGAATTCCTCAAGTATGATTTCAAACGTTTTAACGTTGAAAAGCTCCGTTCTACGCTAGCAACTGTGACGGGCAACGTAGCGCCAATTTTTAAATATTGGTATACTTTAGGAAACAGTAACTCATCACAACAATTTATGGCATCTATAAAAGCAAAAGGGAGTTTATCTTCTTGAGCGGCTATCCATCTTTGTTTCCACAATAGAACTTCTTTGTTCACAATATTGTCACATGAGCTTATTACGACTGGCCACTGTTTTGACATCACTTCCGTACTTGTCTCAATTTCATTTTCGGATAATTTTATTAATTTGTTTGGTATAAAGTTCTGAATAATTGAGAGTGTATTTTTGTGTTTGGTAAATCTAATTTCTAACTGCGAAATTAAATAGTCAATAAACGGGATGAATACAGATACCCGATAATAATTTTCTGCTGAAGTTAACTCATAATTTGCTCTATGTTGTTGAAAATGTGTAACCCTTGGAATTTTTATATCTTCTCCGATTTCTTTAGCAAAGTGTTCAGCTGTGCTAAATAAATCATGAAATTTCGACTCTACATTGCTACGCATTTCCTTTATTAGTGTACTTAAATTATTAGCAGTCTCCATTGCAGAGGCTAAGTCCACATTTACTTTTTGTAGATAGATTGATAGTGAGTTAGCCATTGAAAAAATTTCTTGGATCACGACCATTGCAAGAACAAAATTTCCATTTTTGAGAGCTTGTTGTAATGTGAACGCTTTTTTTGATGCTTCTCTGTTACCATCCATTTGTATTTTTTCTAATGTAAAAAAGATTGGCACAAAAAGTTCCTTGAATGTAATTACAGCGTCAAGCCGTTCGATCCATCTGGTTTCACAAAGCTTCATTAGTCGTTGCTTTTTTGTTTCACACTCTAATTGGTGGATTACATCCTTTAATATGCTTTGTCGTTGTGCCGATATACGGAAAAAGTAATAGGAATGTTGCATGCGTCACTCACAACTAAATTTAATGAGTGACTAGCCCAATGTACATACAATGTCTGAGGATATTTTTCCATAACTTTGGCAGCACACCCTTGAAATTCTCCACTCATTGCTGCCGCTCCGTCGTATCCTTGGCCTACTAAATATTTTAGATTCAACTTTAAATTTTGACATGTTTCCAATAAAGTACACATTAGTCCTTTTCCGGTAACATCATTTACAGGAACAAAAGATAGAAAATCCTCTTTTAAAATACTTCCGCTGTTAGTTTTTTCAATGAAACGAACACATAACGAAAACTGTTCAATGCCGCTGATATCAGTAGTTTCGTCAGCTAGTAAACTAAAACATTCTGCTTCGTTACATTTTGAGACAATCTTATTTAAAATTACTTTTCCACATATTTCTATTAATTCGTTTTGAATTTTTGGACTGGTGTAACTAGTAGAACGATTTGATGGCATTGCTTCTATTCGTAATAGATGATCATTTAAAGTATTGTCTCCTGAATCTACATGAAAACGCAACAACGCACGGAAGTTTCCGTCATTATGGTTTGAAACTTTCGATAATATTGGACCTGAATCACGTTGACCTCTTAAGGCAATTTCTTGCCTTCCAATTAAAATGATTGTTTCAACAATAGAAGATAATATTTTCCTGTTTTGTTCGATTGTCGCTAAACGGGCTGTATTAAGCTGAAGGCTAATATCAACGATTTTTTTTTCGCGTACATCTTTAAAATTCTGAGCAACTATACAAGAAGTTTTATGATATTCTACATTTGTGTGATAACGGAATTGCTCTTTTGCATCTTTCCAACGACAGAATGGAGTCACTACGAAAGACTTTGTAGAGATATGACTTCCTTTTCCCACTTCTTTAGAACAAAATAAAAAACAGAATACGCAAAAAGCACCGTCTAATTTTTCTGAATACGAAAGCCAAGGGAATTCTAGTAACCAGTTTCTTTGGAATTTAAGTTTTCTTGTTCCACTGATAGGAAATTTATAAAATTCATTTGGTATCCATCGATTTTTCAAAATCTTATACTTTTCATCATTAGTACACGTTTTTTCTACATAGACACCAATATCATAATCATAAGTTTGCAAGTGTATTTGTGTACTGGTACTAAGTGCTGACTCATTTAAACCTATTAAGTATTAATAATAGTTTTAGTTTAACATTCGTTAAAATTTTCGAAGGGGCAAAAAACTACTTTTAAAAACGCTTTTAATGAACATTTGAAATACACAGTTCAATTTTAGTGTTTAATAATAGGTATTAATAATAATTAAAATAACAATAGCCTTACCTGAACTAATTTCATTTATTTCTGATTTCTCGTAGTTTGGTTCGTTATTATGATCACGATCATGCTGGTCTCAATTCTCTAAATCAAGTTTAGGTTTTTTTACTATCCACTTATCCATTGTTAAATGTTAATATACTTAAACCTTTTAATAAAATATACTTAAACTTTTTAAGACAAATATACAATAGTTCGTACTTCGTATGCAACTGTAGTTTTGTTTGTCAATATAAGTTTAATATAGTTCAATGGTTGATAAAATAACATATAGGCACTGCTCGGTAATACATGAAAACGACGTTAACAATTGTTGATTATAGATTAAAGTGGCTAACACACTAGGTGATTAATCGCACAAAATAAAATACATTTTACGACGACGATAAAAGATTGTCATAATAATTACACTGATCGTCCACGTCCATATCTACCATATCTTCGTGGAAATACTCATATTCCCATAGATACCCACATTAGATAATGTAAGCTGACAAGCTGTACTATTAATAATATTTATAATTCAGAATTCAGAATTTGAGAAAAGTACAGTACAGTACAATTAATATACAGGTACTAGAAATTTTATTTTTCTCATAATAAATTAAATCATCCATTAATTTCGTGGTGATTGGGGGGGTTATCCCCCCTTTAGTACGCCACTGATATAAATACAATTAAACGCGAAGTAAGAGTGGTTACTACTTGAGTAATAATAAATATGATCGTTCATTCTGAGCCAGATTTTGAGATTATGATGAGTAGGGACTTCAATTAACGAGCCCCTAATTATGACTAGATTAAACTAGAATTTTATTGTGTAGATAATACTACTATTTTGGGGACTGGTCGAGTGATCTGGCCCAGGAGCGTTAATAATCGCACGACGCGGATGACGCCGTCGTTACCAGGTAGTACTTCGAGAATACGCCCAAGGCGCCATGTTAACGGTGGAGATTGTTTGTCGATGATCACTACCATATCATCGACTTGCACGTTAGGGGCCTCGGTAGTCCACTTAGACCTTCCTTGAAGTGAATTAAGATATTCGATTGACCAATGACGCCAAAATGATTGATGGTATTGGTCGAGCAGCTTCCAACGTTGGGTTAAATCGATTCGTAACTCGAACGGTACTCGGGGTGATACCGTTAATAGAGGTTGCCCGATTAAAAATGCCCAGGATATAAATAATCGAGGTTAGCTGGAACAGTGGTCAACGGTGTCAGTGGTCTTGAATTGAGTACAGTTTCGACGCGAGTTAATAGAGTCGTGAACTCCTCGTAATTGAAGACATGGGTGCCCATAGTCCGAATTAATAATCGTTTCGCCGACCGGACCGCCGCCTCCCAGAGGCCACCGAAGTGTGGCGCACTTTGGGGGTTAAAATGCCACTGACAAGCTGAATGTGATTGTGTAATTGCGTCTTGACCGTCTGGACTGTTGATTAGCAATTTTAATTGTTTATCCGCGCTGATGAAATTCGTGCTGCAGTCTGTAAAGATATCCGAGGGTAGGCCTCGACGCGCGACAAACCTATCAAAGGCAGCGAGGAACGCTTCGGTTGACAGCTCGGTGACCACTTCTAGATGCACTGTTTTGACAGAGAAGCACACGAAAACGGCGATATAGGCTTTGTTCACAGGTAATTTTCGCAATCGGACTTCGCGCATTTGAATCGGTCCAGCGTGTTGCGTGCCAATATCAGATCCAGACTCAGGGTGTTATTTAAATGAAATTTACAACTATTAAGAACAATAATGTGTTTATTACATATAAATTAAGTACATGTAACTGATACAAAAAGTGGCTGAGTGTTGTGAAGGTGCTCAGGTCTTCGTGGCTCTGGTACATCTGCCTCTGTTGGTCTCTGGACTCCCTTATATACAAAGAAGTCTCTTGTTGTTGTAGTCAACAACCTTCTAATTCATATTAATTCTTGGAATTGTTTTCACATTTGAAAACAACAATTTTCAGGATGTCTTCTGTTCTTAATTGGCAATTTGTGGAAATCAAAAATACATTTAAACGACCTCGATATTTTAACGACTGCTATTTTGATTTATGATGATGAATTATAATGATTTATTATTAGCATTATCTAGCAATATTACATATTGTATTATATATACTATCGTAGCATATCTCGTAGCCCATAACAAGCGTAATTAACACCTACTCGTACGAATGATCGGCTTTGCTATACTCGCGCGGCTGGCAAGTCTGCCATTATCGGTTGTGGTGGTTTACCGTCAAAACGTACGCAGACTGGACATGCGCGGGTAACGCGATGCAGAATAGATTTAATGGCTACAATCCAGAAGTCGCGTGATATGAGTGCCGTCATGATTTGCGGACCGGCATGACATGATATTCTGTGCCGACGGCGACAGATTAATGTTGACAAATGCGATTCTTTTGCCAATAACATAGGATGTTTACATCCGTATGGCAAATCTGAATTTAGTAATCGCCTTCCAACGCAGATCACACCAGACGGATCTAGAAACGGGCGCAGTTTGGATAACTGTTTTGACGATACACTTGACCCCGTTGACAATTCATGTGTTAACGTCGTGAAAAAACATCGCTGGGATTCGGTAACCAGTATGCGAATGGAGTCGTCGATATCCGAACGTTGTTGTATCACTACAGTTGCACGAGGACGTTTTCGACAATCATTAATGAAACGATTAATGTATGCAACTACGCGGACTAGCCGATCATAGGAGGAAAATTGGTCGTACCATTCCGATGGTCGTTTAGCGTTGATCATTAGGACTACAGGTCGCGTCTCGGGTAAGTCGGGTATCGGAATCGACGGTACAGTTTCATCCCAAGAGGCTGCGTCATCGTGAATAAATTGGGGTCCTTGCCATAGGCGGCGTAACTAGCCCTTTATGTTAGGGGGGGCTGAAGTCCTAAAGAATTTTTATAGAAAAATAAGGTACCTATGGAAACAAAATTGCCACCATACAAATATAAGTCTTAATTTGTATTAATTATCTGAAAAAAGATTACAATTTAGAATAATTAATAATGCATAAAAATTCTTTGTTTTATCTGAATTACATAAAACTATAAAATATATATTATACCAATTATACCTAATATAATAATAATATTCACATCAAAAATTGTACATACATATACAGTATACTTCTTTATTTTGACATTTTTAAACTTAAATCATAACTTTATTTTTATAGAATAACAGTAAATAAAATATACACAATAGTCTATATGTAATATGAAATATAATAAAATAGTTATGAAGATTAAATATTTAATATTTATTAAATCTATACGCCTATTCTTCAAAGCAAAGTTATTTAAAATGTTTTCTGACTCGATAATATTTGAAATATCTCTTTCAATATGTAAAATTGACATATCTGTAAATCTATCCTGGTTCATACTAGATCTGATCCATGTTTTTATTCTCCGCATAACAGAGAAAGAACGTTCACAAGAAGCAGAGCTAATGGGCAGAGTTAAAGCAACTTGCATGAGTTTATATAAATTGGCAAAAACGTTCTGGTCTATTTTTGTAACAGATCATTAAGAGTAAAATCAGAATTTTGAATACTATTTTTAATTACAGTCATTTCAGCTTCTAACGATTCAATATTAATACCCAACAATTTCTAAATCTTCTTCTTCTTCTTCAGCTTATCGGCCCATTAAGTGCCATCGCTGCCATCACAAAACCTCTCCATTTCTCTCTATCGTATGCGTCGTCAAAAGATGACGCTTCCTCTATGTTTTTTATATCTTGAGCTATAACGTCCAACCATCGGGTCCTTGGTCTTCCTAATGGACGTTTTTTATTTATTGTGTTAATTAAAACTTCTTTTATTACTTGTCCATCCGCTCTCCAAACATGACCGAACCATTCCAGACGCTTACTTCTTATATATGCAATAATATTTGGCCTGTTATATAACTCCTGTAGTTCTTGATTATTCCTTCTTTCATAAGTTTGCGATTCTGCATCGAATTTCGGGCCGTATATATTTCTCAGTACTTTTCTTTCGAAGGTCATTAGCCGTTTGCTGTCTCCTTTGGTCAGTGACCATGTTTCACTCGCGTATGTGATTATTGGTCGTAGATAGCTATGATACAGTAGTGTCTTTGAATTACGTGACAGTAGTTTTGATTTAAGGAGTCTCATTATGCTATAGTAGCATCGATTGCCACATGCTATTCGATCATTGATTTCTTCATGCATGTCGTTGTTGCTATTTATGTTAACACCTAGGTACTTAAATACCTCCACTTTCTTGAAACTATAATCATCTACTGTTATGTGGTCTGTGTTTGGGCTTCTTCTTGCTACCATTAAGTATTTCGTCTTTTCCTCATTTACACGCAGCCCTATGGTTTTACTTGCTTTCAAGAGTTTGGACGCAGTATTCATGACTTCGTCTCTAGTTTCTCCCATTACCACAATGTCATCTGCGTATGCCAATATTACTCGTTCCCCACATATTTCCATCTTTCGACCGTCCCATACTTCTCTCATTGCTTTTTCTAATGCTAGATTAAACAAGGTGGGTGATAGAGCATCACCTTGTCTAAGGCCTGATTTTACCTCAAAAGTTTCAGACATTTCTTGAAGGAAACGGACTCTGCACACAGTTCTGTTGTTACACCCTTTTATAAGGCCTACGTACTTTTT